TTTTGATGACTGATGTAGTAAATTCAGTATTACCAGGTTTTACCTGCTAGTGAATGGGGAGGGTATTGACCTCCTTAAAGTATTAAATCAGCTCAACTCTCATGGTCAGTGTGACAGCAGCCTCATTGTGGGTCTTATTCTGGCTCTGGCAGAAATATCAAACTCATAATGAAATGCCAAACTGCAAATACTTTTTTCCCATTTTTTTCAATCATGTGTTTCTTTTCTCAGATTTAATCTTAGATTTTTACCACCAATGCACCACCAGATTTCTTAGTATAAACAACCGGCTGTTTCAGAGATGAATTTCTTACATATGTCATTTCCTCTCTGGATAAAGAAACTGTGGGTTACACGCTCTTCAAGGTTCAAGACTTTAATATTATTCATTTTCCTAAACTGTATTTGTTTTGAGTATCTATAAACATTAGCATGGCTATTTCTAAGTCTCCTGCCTTCGGAGACATGGTCTAGGCACTAACTTGGATGTCACATCCTGCTTATTGCTAATTACACCCAGAGGCTGAGAACACGTTGGGTAAATTTCATAAAGAAGTAAACAGGATGAAAGAATGCCATGTGTTTAGTCATCAGGTGGCCATAATGAGAGCAAGTTAAGGATGGTACCTGTGCTGGCAAATGATATGATCATGTCAGAGCTAATCTGTTCATTCCCACTGCTCTAATCATCTTCTACTAACCTCGCAGGGCATTGCTGAATACAAAAAGAACTGGCAAGAACTAAGTCATCCTACCACAAGGCACAGAAGATGCTAGGCTTGTTATCACTTTCACACTTTGCTAATGTAATATTGCTAATGTACCCAGTCATTTTATACATATTTAATTTCATCATTATGGGGTGAGCAGAAGGCAAGAGTATTACTTGAAATCAAAATGTAGAGAACCCCTCACCTGCCTTTACTCAGGCAATCCTCTAACCGCAAGTTTCCTGATTCTTCCTGACCAAAAATCACTTTGTCCATCACAGAAGGGTTAAATAGTCTTGAGTAAATCTTTATTTACATCATGTCCTATATTTGCCACAAACAAAATTGTGTACTGTCTTGTTATCCTCAAATCTTTTTTTGTCTGTATGCAACAGATATGTGTATAGTAAATTATTAACCTCAGTGACATTTGATTGCGTTGAGATGTAGCTATAGCAGAGGAGAGAGGATAGTGAGTGAAATTGTACCTCTGGTCTGGATGGATGACCCATCCATCTGGTCTGGTGATCATCCAAGCTTGTTTGAGACACAGGGAGTTCACAGGACAGAAGACTTTTAGTATTAAAACCAAGAAATATCATCTAATAAGGATGAAGTGTTTACCCTATACAACCAAACTTCCCTGTGAGAAAAAATATGGAATCCAAAAGGTTTAAGATGAGTACTCAACTGTAAGTTAAATATTAGGTTAAAATCCTGACTCTGACATATGTTAAGTGTGTAACCTATAGAATGCCATTTTTCCTCTCTAGATCAGATTCTTTTTCCACTTTTATTTTTTTGGTTTCATTTTACATTCCAACCACAGTTCTCCCTCCCACCTGCCTTGCCTGCTCCCATCCTCTTTCCCCTCCCTGTAGCCCACTCCCAGTCCACTCTTCCCCACAGATAAGGGCTCCCTTGAGGAGTCAACACAGTCTGACACAAAAGGTGAGCACACGGACAAGTCCCTCTTCCATGCATTTAGATTGAACACAGCATTCCACCATAGGGAGTGGACTCCAACAAGCTAGCTCATGTACCAGGTTTGTATCATGGTCCCTCTTCCAGGAGCCCGTTTGATAGTCCAAGCATCACAACTGTCTCCTACATATGAAGGGCCTCGTTCAGTCACCTGGAAACTCCACAGTTGTAGGTCTAGAGTTCATGAGTTTCCACTAGCGTGGTTCAGTTGTGTCTGTAGATTTCTCCATTATGATCTTGACCTCTCTTGCCCATATGTTTCCTCCTTCCTCTCTTGGTCTGGATTCCCTGAGCTTAACCAGAGCTTGACCTGGTTCTTGGTTGTGGATCTCTGCATCTGGTACCATCAATTACTGAATGAAGAGTCTATGATAATAGTTAGGGTATTCATCAATCCAATTACAGGGGTATACCAGTTCAGGCATCTTTTCTACTACTTCTAGGAGTCTTAGTTGGTGGGATCCTCCTTGTGGATTCTTGGAAGTTAGCCTAGCACCAGGTTACTCCCTAAGCCCATAGTGGCTCTCTCTATTAAGATTTCTTTTTTCACTGCTCTTCTCCTGCATTAATCCCTGCCTAGACTGTCTTGTTCCCTCCTGTTTTCATCTTCCCTTCCCTCCTCCTTACCATCCGATTCCCCCAGTTTGCCCTATAGATGTCATCTAATTTCCCTTCCCAGGGCGATCCATGTGTCCCTGCTTGTTACCTAGGTTCCCTGGAGATGTGGACTTTAGTCTGATTACCCTTTGATTTACAAAAGGAGTTCCAGGATAGCCAAAGATAACACAGAGATACCCTGTCTTAGGGAGGGGAGAGCACAGATTTCTTATATGGAAATCTTATATGGAAAACAGTGATGTCAATAATGCCTGTCTCCCAAAATAGTTTTAAATGAAATAATCCATATATGAAAAATAGAAAATGAAAGTTGATATAAATGTAAGGTTTAATTTTATTTGATGATGGCTTTAAAGGAGAGAGCATGTCATTAATTAATCTTATGGATCTGATCTATTTTGAAAATAAGCCAAGTTTCAACAAGCCTTGTATAATTTTAAAAGTCAAGTCAATTAACAGAATTGTCAAATGCACAATAACACTCTTGGGGCTGGACTGATGTCTGGATTTTTCATATATCTAAAGAAGAGGATGTTGTAAATTATAAGTGTTACTTATTTTTCTCTCTTGCCAAATCACCTATGAGAAAATACTTTTTCAATTGCCTTTTGATAATTACTTGTGATCAGATTTTACATGAGTAGAGACTTCATGTTGTCATTATGTTCCTAACTTAATCAAAACTCTCACTTGATTTTGTGGGGGGGAATTACCTAATTTTAAACTGTATTCCTTGGGACACTGTTACTAAAAAAAAGAGAATTTAATTTATGTAAAGACTTGCTCAGTGGTTCATTTGTTTATTTGATTCATATTTATTTAAAGTTCACCAGATCACCATTAGCACATTTGGCACAGACAATAAAAGCAATGAGCAATACAGGCCAGGCTCCTTACTCCATGAGTTTCTATTCTAGTGGGAGGAAGTATGTATTAAACATAGACAAAACCTTGGCAGTAACATACTTTGAATAATGCTATGAGAAACAGGGGTAGAGAGCTTTGATAAAGAATAGTTGTTTTTTGTTTTGTTTTCACTGGAGTATATAGCAATCAAGTGTATGCTTAAACATCTCATAGTGTCATCTGTATTTAGATTAGAATGAAATGTATGTTTCATGCAGTTTTTTCTTCCTTTCCCAGAAATACTAGTGAGACACTCAATTCAGGAGCTCTTTGCTTATCATTCACTGATCATTGCTTACTCATCAAAGGTACTAGGCACCATTCTAAGTGCTAGGATAAAGTAAAGAAAACAAAGTTGATGACCTGCGTACTTTCATGGGACTTATATTCTTGAAGGGCAGGAGAGAAATATGATACATGGTAAGACACGCTGAAATAAAAATGATGATGAACAACAAAGGCCTTTCTGAAAAGATGGTATTTAAATAGAGAACATAAGTAAACAAAGGAGCCAGCTGTGAGGATTTCTGATAGATTTTCCCTAGATAAAGGAAACAATAAGATGAATCTGAAAGTGAAGTGTATTTGCCTTTTTAAATTAATGGGTTTTTTATGAGTGCAAGTAGTTGCCCAGGGATACCAGAGGGAGGCATTGTATCCTCTGGAGCTGGAGTTACAGGTTGTTGTAAGCCCCTGCATGGGTTCTGGGAATTTAATCTATGTCCTCTGGTAAAGCAGAACGTGCTCTTAATTGCTAGGCCACCTCTACAGCCCGTGTGTTTGTATTTTTTTGAAGAAAAATGATGGAGGAAGGTAGAGGGAGGGTAATGATGCCAAATAATGAGGTTAGATTCTTTTGAGGAATATGGGGAGTAAGAAAGTTCTTTCAGGTTCTTTTAGTCCTACAGATCAAATAATTTAGAAACAGACTCAAAAGGAAACTTGAAGGCAACTTTATTAGAATTTGGGGAAACTCCAAGAAACCAAACACAGGGAAGGCAATCTAGAGATCTGATTATAGGGAGGGAGCTAGGTAAGAGGAAGAAAGAAAAATAAACTTTCTGAGTTAGAGGTTGAGGAAGCAGACAGGCTCAACAATGGAATTCTGTGAGCAACTGGGTGGGAGTGGAGGATGGGGTGAGAGTTTGAGGGTTTCCAGAGATAGAATGAGACTATTACGGCAATAACTCTTAGGGATTTAGCCGGTATCTAGAACAGTGTTATTACAAAGAGGGGGAAGGTAAACAGCAGGGATCGATACTAACTGTGCTGAGGAAGTAGTTTCTGGACCTTATGGACTCATACCTCAAGGAACTCATTATTTTCCCTACTTACCATGTTTGCAGGTGTCTTCTCTTTCTTTTCACCCTCTAACTCTAGTTTGTTTTGTGAAACAGGATTTCCTCATTATCAAAGGAGGCCTTTGGCCTTGCCTGGGCAAGCAAGGAAGCTCTTGTTGTCTTGCCAATCTTTGGGGAAGCCATTTGTAAACGGTGTTATAAACGATTAACCATAGCATTTCAAATCCTAAAGTGAGGCAATTGTGACATATCCTTTTTCCTCAAAATCAGTATATAACAGGGATATAGGAGGTAGGTTGCAAAACTGATTAAGGGAGGGAATCTACCCTCAATGAACTTCAAACCTAGCTACTTATGTATTAACCTGACACAAGCTAGCATCATCTGAGAGGGAACCTCAATTGAGAAAATGCCTCCATAAGATTCAACTGTAAGGTATTTTCTTAATTAGTGACCAATAGGGAGGGCCCAGCCCATTGTGGGTGGTTCCATACCTAGGCTGGTGGTCCTGGGTTCTCTAAGAAGCCAGGCTGAGCAAACCATGGGGAACAAGCTAGTAAGCAACGGCTCTACACGGTCTCTGGATCACACCCTCCCTTCAGGTTTGTGCCCTGCTTGAGTTCCTACCCTCACTGCGTTTGATGATGAATTGTTACATGGAACTGTGTGTGAAATAAACCCTTTCCTTTCCAACTTGCTTTTGGTCACAGTGTTCCATCGTAGCAGTAGTAACTCTAACTAGTAGAAACCTGACTATATGTAAGTTACCTAAAACAGGGATGGAGGTAGAAAGAAGTCACATAAAATCTGGGAGCCCACTGTAAGAAGTTTGGTTTTATTCATCTGCTTGAAAGAAACAATGGTTAACATTTAAGAACATTATCTTCGAAAATGTCCCTATGAAGCAAGTAGTATGTACTCTCATTGGAAACTGGGATGAGGCCAGGCCAGGCCCAATGGAGGCATCATGTTTTAGAAATGGAAAGAATGTAGCTGGGTACCATTTCCTAGACACATAGAATTCAAGCCAGCATATGGAAAAGAATATAAAGATCATATGATGGCAAGAATTCCACATGTGGGCAGTAGAGTTGGGTTCTTAGAATGGATATTACTCAGATAGTATTTTCCAAATTGGAGTTTAAACGTCTCAGGAGTAGAGGTAATAGAGAAAAAAGGAATCTTCAACAGAATATAGACCACAGCAAAGGCATAGATATTGGAGTAGCTCTTAGTTATCCAGACAGTTGTTCCTGAGATGTGTTGTCTCTCCTCTGCCTAACTTGGCTGCCTATATACAGCCATTTTGAAAAAACTCTCAATTCCTGTCTATCTCCCTTCCCTCTCCTAAATTTGTGCCAGTTCAAGAGGGAGAACATACAAGTGCAGAGGAATAGTTGATTGTTAACTTAACCTTTATAGAGAAAAAGATACACCAAAAACACAATAATAGATACAAAACCTCTATTCATAAAACACAGATGAACAAATGGATATGAACTGTTGCATACTATGTGTATAGATTTATAGATATTTAAGGCCAATCTATTATTGCTATAGGGGAACATGAAATTAAATGACGTTGTCTTAAATGACTCACGGTGCTTTGTGCTTCAACAGAAGCATGTGTAGAACTGAGAAGTTGTCATATGCTAATTTTAAAATGCATTAATTAAGGTGATCTTTCAGTTACTCATTTTTCTGGACTTTGAAAAACTTTTTTGTTTTCAATCTGACTATTGGACTTACACAATGTAATTGTAGAGCAAAGTTAGGCAGAAGCTGCTGAGGACTCTTCTATTTGCTCACCCCCATGGGGAAGGGCTCTGGGCACATTCTCTGAAATATATCTAAGGGTCTGGGATGTATTTCAATGGTAGAGCACCCGCTTCATATGAAAAAAGTTTGTGAATTCAATCTCCGTTACTGAAAAAAAGCAGATGAAATTTTGCCAAATGTGATGGTATTGGTGGGAGGCTACAGCAGGAGAGTCACCCTGAATTTGCATGCTCCCTGATCTACATAGTAAGATCTTGTCTGGAAAGACATTGTAAAAACCAGGGTAAATCAATGTATCTAAATTTCTCTCCCATGTTTAATTCTTCCAAAAGAAAGAATACATTTCTCAATCAGGTTAAGACATGCAAGTCAACTGTGAATGTTGATAGTGAGTGCTTTTATAAGACACAAATTGTTGTAGCTACTTTATCTAGATGCTTCATTTTCCATCTTGCTTTTTAAGTTTCTTAGCAAATACTCAATGGAAAACAGCTCAGGGCTGAGCCAAAAGCAATTAGAAAGCACTTAGAGAGTTGTAGTCACCCAAATGATAATTATTTGCAGGTGCTTGTTTTTCTTCCCTCTCTACTGCTTTATCCAGTCCTGCCTTGTAACCTGGGGAGGACTGACTGTTGAGCTTGGTCTGGCTCTTCACCAAAGTTCGCCTTTGTCACTTACATGTTATACAGAGAAATATTGGTAATGAAAGCATTTGTGCCATTTCTCCAGCCCTGGAGTTAGCTGGATGTCTGATGATTTATTATGATTGTCAAATGTCATGCTACTCTTTCCTTTATTTAGCCACTAGGAAAACAAAGATTTTATGTATTCAGTACACACTATATATTCTCCTGGAAGCAAAATGATTTCAACTCAATTCTGTAGTTCTTCTTGGCCTTCACCTTGGTTGGTGTGTGTGCTGCTTTAATCCATTCAAAGGAAATATTGGTCAGCTAAGCTGTTTTACCACCATTCTGACCCAAGATGTGATCCACTGATCACAAAATAATACATGTTGACAGCCTCTGTTCACAAAATATGCATGTTGACAGTTGCACACGTTTACAAATACCATGCTACAAGGAAGCAATACAGGAGAAAGCATCTTTTGTAGGTCAGCACAGGTGAGTGCTGACAAAATCTATGAAATAAGCCATTTGGAAGGGGCATGATCCTTTCTCTCAGGTCTCCCCTAAACACATAAGTAATAACAAGATAGTTATTTTTGCTCAAGACATTTCTTATTTGCTACAAATGAGAATGCTGTCTTCAGACTGGGCATGTGACGAACAAAGGAAATGAAACATGCCATCTTGTTCCTCAAAGCTTTTCAGTGTAAAGTGTCTGGGACACTTCCATTGTTGAGCTTGCAGGTTCCCAAATATGTCATATGTTCTAATGGTCTACAACATGAAATGTGTTGAAGGATGATGCCATTCTTTAGCTCCAACTTTCAGTGTTTGATAGTCAACACAGATTTGAAATGGCCAGTGGAAGGTATTTAGGAAAAACATTTGTTCTGTTTCTTTATATTTTATTGAAGTAGAATCCCAGTTTATAATACAGAGTAGCTTCAAACTTGTGATTCTCCTTTTCAGCCAGTTAATCCAAGAACTTATTCCCATTAGACTTTAAGAAACACTTTTGGGTATGTGTGCATGTGCGCATATATGTTTGCATGTGGAGGCCAAAAGTCAACCATGATTGTTGTTCTTCAACAGCCATTTGCCTTGATTTTTGAGACAGATTCTCTCACCAAACCTGGAACTCAAAAATTATAGGCTACATTGCCGATGTCATGCAAGGATCCATGTGTCTCCATCCCCCTATGTAGAAATGTACAGTATCACCGTTTTGTTTTGTTTTTTTAGACATGGATTCCTGGCCTTAAACTAAGGACCTCATCTTTGTATGACAAGCACTTCATTAATGGATCTGTCTTTCCAGTCCCTGAATTTAAGGAATTATGAAAGGAAGTTTGTATGATTGAGGACTTAAAGGGATGATAATTATCTATTAGAACATAACCTCCACATGGGTGGAAACAGTATCTGTTTTGTTCACAGGGTCATGGTCTTTGTAGCTTTCTCCTATGTAATGTTGAGTGAATAAATAATACTTCCCTGCTAACAAATTATGTCTTCTCTTAAAGTTAAGGAGTCAAACTATTGATTGTGCTCTAGACTAAAGCAAGTAGGTAAATCTTAATGGTAAAGAACTTTGCAAGAAATATCTTCTGACCCCTTATTAAAACCTTTTTCATAATACTTTCTCTAACAGGTCTAAACTACTCTATTTCTACTCTATGCATAAGTTTAATTCAAACCAGACTGTGGCTTTATTTTATGTTTCTTGAATAAAACAGAGTACTTAAACTTCTTTAAAATAATTTTAAATAGATTCTTCTGTTTTACCAAAGTTTTATAGGTTTTGATATTTACTAAAGTTGAAAGCTGGATGAACTTACTCATATATCAAGTGATCCTTAAAGACCTTAATAAAAAACTGACCTAACATTGTCCTAGTCACCTGAAAGCATTCCAGACGACTTAATTTACAAACCTACCTAACATTCCCCAGGTTACCTGAAAGAATTCCATAGTACGTCATTTACAACCAGGCACAGAAATTATTTAACTTCAGAATAATTTATATTCAGTTTGTACTGTTTCTTACAAATCAGAAGTCCAACTCATGGAAAAGGTCAAATAAAGATCCTTGGCATTTTCTATCCTGTTGATTGTTAAGAAAGAATACACAATCTGACATCAGGAATGAGATTATTTTTAAAGCAACACTTAAATGGTAGGCAAAACACAGTGCACATTCATCTGAAGTCTCTAAAAGTAGTTACAACCTTGCTACTGGTAAATGAGAAATCACAGTGTCGTTAAAGCTACAAACAAGGTTCAGTCAATGTAGAAAAGAATGTTCATTCTCGGTAGATTTTCTGTTTTTCATGTAATTATTATGTCCTGATTGTTTAAAAAATATTCATTTATGTAGATAGTTCTGAGAGTTTATAGTTGTCCAGCGATTAAGAAACATACCATTTCCTAATCAAGCTGAATAAATGGAATTGATTGTTGCAATATTTCTGTCATGGTTTTTATATTTTGGTTTATCTGCTATTCAAGTTTTTTCAAGTTTTTTTCTCTCTGGGATAATTTGCTAGAAAATATTTCGATTATGGCTCCAACAGACTTTCTGTAAATTCATATAATAACAGAGAAACATACACACTTTGCCATTCAAGTTGAATCTGTCACTTTGTTGTAGCTATAATAAAACACCGTGTTGAATGCAACTTATAGAAAGAAGAGTTTATTTGGGTTTGTGGTTCCAGACGGCTTCAGGATGGGAATGAAAGCTTGGCAAATAGTGTAGTTGTTCTTCCTTCCTTCCTTCCTTCCTTTCTTCCTTGTTTCCTCCCTTCCTTCCTTTCTTTCCTTCATTCTTTTTTTACTCTTTTGACTCTCTTACTCTTTGGGGGGCCTGCCACCCAGCTCCCAAATAAATACATGGAGACTTAGTATTCCATATGAATGGTTGGCCTTAACTTGGCTTGTTTCTTGCCAGATTTTCTTTTATTCCTTTTTAAAATTTAAATTAAAAAAGCTTGCTTTACATGTCAATCCAAGTTCCCTCTACCATACCTCCCTCCCCTGTACCCCAACCTGTCTGTCCCATCTCCTTTCTGCTCCCCAGGGAGGGTGAGGCTTTCTGTGGAAGATCTTCAAAGTCTATCATGTCATTTGGAGCAGGGCCTAGACCCTCCCTGTGTGTCTAGACTGAGAGTATCTCTCTATTTGGAGTGGGCTCC